TCCATCCATCCATCCATCCATCCATCCATCCATCCATCTTTCCGTCCATCCATCATTCCATCCATCCATCCATGCATCTTTCCGTCCATCCATCATTCCATCCATCCATCCTAACTTGTCCCCCTGTCTCTCCCTCTAAGCCCTGTATCCTATCAGCAGTTCTCCATCTCCTGTCTGGAGGACAGCCTCTCCTCAGTCCCCTTCCTCCACCAGGAGCTCGTTGGCTCTTCTATCTTCAGGTTTTCCAGGAGGTTCCGGTGAGATGGAAGCAGACGTGGTGCCGAGCAGCGATCCTTCTCCTTGGGCAGAGAGCTCTGAGCCCTGCATAGAAGCAGCAGCAGCATTCAGAGGTCCAGATTTGCCTGCCATGGGAAGAAACCTGCTCTCTGGTCACAGCAGGTAAGAGGCTCTGATAATAAGATGACTGGTTATACTGGATTACAGTTTTCACTAAGGAAACTGGTTTCCAGTGGTGGAAGCCTGGAACTAACCAATGGTTTGGTCCCTGTGTTGGCCAACCATGTGCTAATGAAGCTCTGCTGATGTTATAAATATCTAGATCAGGGCTGATCAGTTAAAGTAGCGTCATATTTATAGGTTTATTTAAACTTTTAGAAAAGCAGTAAAAATCATTAAACAACCTTCACTTTTTGTGAAATATGTAGCTATAGAGCAGAGGAAAGTTTTGTAATGAAAGTTTTTCTTCTGAAGGCATTTTTTAGGGTCTCATCTTAAGGTATTCATTTTTATTTTTTATTTCTGGTAACCTGTTCCGATTTAATCTGGATTCAGGATTTCTTTGCATCGTTTGTTTTCAAATGGTTTGCTGCTGTCTGTTTGGACCTTTCTGAACATGTGCAGCAAATGGACTGATCCAATATGGTGGACACTGAAGGGGGGGGGCTGAGACACACTTAATATTCTAAGCGTTCTGATGGCATCTTAGCCAAAGGATTTTTATCAAAAACATAATTAATGTGCACAAATAAGGAATAGTTAGGGTTTTATGAGGCCCCCAGGAACCTGGGGCCCTAGGCAACTGCCTAATGGTAAATCCGCCCCTGCCGGGTGTGTAGGTGGCACAGTGGTTAGCGTGCATGAACCATGTACGGAGGCCGTAGTCCTTGATGCGGCTGAATTTTTTGCAGCTGAATTTTTCACCAGATAAAAATTCAGTGAAAGGAATTCAATGTGTAAAAAAAATTAAGTTTACAAAAAAGGCAGATTCTCACGAGACAGTTTTTCTTCCATACTGAACTCTATAGAGCGATGGTTTATATGCTAATTTATTTTTTTTTCCAATAAACTTTTATTCTGCGCCACTCTAGATGTTTGGGGATTTACTACTTTTGAAAAATGAATAGTTTTGATGAAAGAGTTTTAGCTGTGATCTTTAAACGCTTGTGAAAGTTAAATAAAAGACATAATTACATCAACACAAGGATTTAAGGTGCTTAAGGTGTTCACATTTAAAATAGAAACGGAAGAAATCTGAGGAGGGTGAAAACTTCCCTCTCTGGACTGTTGATTTTTTTTTTTTTTTTTTTTTTTTTTATTGCATAGACGAGCGGAGCAGCCTCCGCACGCTGGGAGCTCAGCTGAATTTTACGTTTCTCTTCAGAACTGAAATCAATGTGCAGGTAGATATGACTGCTATCTGCACCTGTTAAAGGTGATTTCTACATATAAACAGTTTGAAACGATCCAGTGCAACCTCGTCGGCCATATTGGATTATTCTTGGCAGCTGATCCCTGTGCAGCAACCACACCTTGGTTAAAGGATGTCAGACCGACCCTAGTGACCTCACAGCTGACCTCACAGCAAAAAGTAGATCCCATCTTTCTTAATGAGATGAAAATATTGCTGCTATTTCCGTGATATTTGTGCTCATTTTTAAGGATTAATTTTTGTATATGTGGAGCCGCTTCACAAAAAGATTTATTAAAAAGTTTATTGCTTTTTATTGAAACCTCATCTTTTCTTGTAGATACTGTGATTCATGTTAATATGTCTCTTCTTTCGATTCTTTTTCAAATAAATGTGTGGAGAGTTGGAGGTGCTGGCTGTTAAATTTAGATTTGATTTGATTAGTTGGAGTGCTTGAAGGCCTTATAGAAATAGGAAGGTAGTAAAAGCAGCAGGAGGGGGAGCAGTTGATTAGACAGAGCTGCTATAATAAAGTCAGAAACAGTCAATTACAAAATACAGTGTCACTCATATCTCAGTGTCTTATTTACCTGCTTTATTACACTAAGAAGCAATCTGACCTTTAAGGTAATAAGGGAGAATTACAGGCGAACATCAGTGGCTGCTTATTAAATCTGCTGCCTGCGCTGCTGTGCTGCAGAGCCGATAATGTGAGGGCGCACCTTCGCTTTAAAACACCTAACAACACACAGGAGGAAACTAATGAAACACACTGAGGTGATGTCCCAGGAGACCCGAGCGAACACTAACTGACCTGCCGCTGCCTTCGTACCCGCGGCTACAGGAACAGAGCTGGTTACTGCTCCCTTCTAGAGAAATTGTTCAAAACAACCAGCTTTGGTCACCTCGTTTGCTCTTTAGCGAGAGTGTTTGACAGGATTGTAGGAACTCTGTGTTTGATGAAATCCCTGCAGCGGGTTATGGTAGCGTTCACAGCTTCCCAAACACTTCAGTCTGTGACCCCAAGAATAGCACTGCATCAGACCGGAGGGCCCCTAAACATACAGAGAATCTACATTTGTTTTAATACATAGTTCAGTAATTATATTCATAATTCTTTATTACATATTTTAATGAATTTTTTTAAATGTCTACTTTATTTAATGGCATATTCCATTATTGAATCGGGTATTTTACATTTAAATTATATATTTAATTTTTTAAATCAGGATAAATAAGTAAATAAATGTTTCCACTGCTTATTTCATTGCACATTCGCATTTATATATTTCCTGACATTTTGGCCCTTCCTATAGAGCCCCTGTCACATCTTGCTGATTTATCCAGCGCCTGCCTGACGTGCCATAATCTCCTAAAACACTGGCATACACTGAACTTTCTATGTACTTTTGCAATTGCCTAAGGGTGTTTCGGCGTGCCTCGAGGGTGTTTCAAGGTGCTTCGAGGGTGTTTCAAGGTGCCTCTGGGTGTTTCAAGGTGCCTCTGGGTGTTTTAAGGTGCCTCTGGGTGTTTTAAGGTGCCTGAGGGTGTTTTAAGGTGCCTGAGGGTGTTTTAAGGTGCCTTGGGTAGTTTTGGCGTGCCTCTGGTTGTGTCAACGTGCCTCGGGTTGTTTCGGCGTGCCTTGGGTTGTTTCGGCGTGCCTCAGGTTGTTTCGGCGTGCCTCAGGTTGTTTCGGCGTGCCTCAGGTTGTTTCGGCGTGCCTCAGGTTGTTTCGGCGTGCCTCAGGTTGTTTCGGC